TTTTTATACTTAGCATAAAACTTAGTGATGAAAAGAAGTTGAAAGCGACAACTAGAATCTTTCTTGGACAAAAAACCGGCACTGCATTTTTTGATACTCGAACGGCACCAATAATGAATGTATATTGAGCGGTTAATTCCCTCAGCACTAACTTTCATGTCAGGCAAAAAAAGCCCTGGGGCACCTCTTTTTCTCTCTCCCCAGTTCCTAGATAGACACTTCCTATTCACAGTTCAGCCTCCAACCAAGGACTCTTCATTCAACAACCCCGCTCTTTCTCCCTTGCTACTACCCCCAGATCTGAAGCAACAGCGCAGATCCTCACCTCCTCCTTCCACCTTACTCTTCCTCACCACCGTCAGTCATCATAACTCGACTCCCAGTCATCGCAAATGAACACTTGGAGCGGGCCGAGTCGAACCGAGCCAAGTTTTAATAGTAGCCTGACATAGTAAGCGTGAGAGCTGCCAAAACCTAGCATGATTACGTAGTTCTGAGTTGCCAAGAGGGCAGTGATAGCGCTCGGAAGATACGCAGAAGGAGAGATGCTGAGTGAGGCAATTGGGGGAGCTCGCGCTTCGGTTTCTTTTTGTGGACGCTACCTATTTCTTCGCACTACGGAAATGTCGAGTTTTGGTGACTGCCACGTTTGGCATCGCTTGACGATATTGCTCCTGGACTTGTCAATGGCACTGATGCACTCGCCAGCAAGACGACCGCACGACTTTTTGTACAGATGCATTTTCGTGTTTACGCGATGTGTGGGAGTGGGCGCCGTCATTCATCGCCACCTGTATTTAGCATATTGTTTGGATTGCGGTGCACACAAATCAAGCAGCGAAGGGGCAACGGGCGGCTGCATCTTTCAGTGCTGGGCAGGGTTTGATCAGTGACCGGGCTCATAGGTTTTAAAATGGGACGGAGAATAGTTGTGATTTCAGTAAATTTAGCCAGTGCATGCACCAAACAGTTGGAGTGAAGGAAAACTGAGAACGTGGTTGCTGCGATTTGAGAGAACCAACATATTCAGTTGATCTGCAGGTGCATGGCTAGCAGAAAAAGGATTGCGTCACCGATCACAGCGTCCAGTTCCAGTGCGTCAAGTTCAGATTCGGAAGGTCCAAAAGCGACATCCGGTAGCGCAAAAAAAGCGGAACGTAACGGCGATAATAGCGTAACCGGCTCTGCTTCTCCAGAAAAAGACCCGAGTATCAGCAACTTGCTGAAGCTGCTCCAAGCAGGACACCAGTTTGTGATACGCAATGTGCTTTATAACAGGGACTACGGCTATATTGATGCTACGTTTCGCTTCATACAACGGCATACATCTATTACGAGAGAACAGGTCCAAGTGATTTCTCTTACGTACCAAATGCTTCATCAGCCTTTTAGGCATAAGCTGAAAAGCAGTATCTGTCTGGGTCCATCAAGCTACTTTTTGTTTTGCAGGGGCTGGTAAAAAAACAGGGTTGTTTCGGTTGAGGCTTACCCCTGATACCCTTTAAGATTTTTCACCGGGTTTGAATTGTTGTCTCAAGTAATAACACATTGCATTGCATTGCAGATACTCTACGCAGCAGTGCTTTTATTTGTAGCTTCAATTTTATTGCAAAATTTTGATCCATTCGTGTGCGCAGTTGTCAGTTGCCTTTATCCGACTTATCAAACTGCTAAAGTACTGATTGTTCTGACAATTTTTGTCATCAAGATTCTGGGCTATGAAGGAATTTGAATTGATAATGAGCAGTTGCGATGCGCCGCCACTGACATACTTTTGCTTTTATAAGATCTTTTTTTTCGCTGCAGTAATTTTGGGATGGTAAAGTGAGTCAAAAGTTCAAAACTCATTATCCTAACTAATCTGCCAGCAAAAAGTAAGGAGTCTGAATTAAGCATAGCCTCTTTTTATTTCCTGGAGGTAATGGAAAAAGTACCAATTCAATCAGCCTTTAAAAAAACTTTTTAATATTTAAAGGCGTGTTTGAAAAGTCGATAATTGAAAATTCGTTGCTGAAATTGAACTTTGCACAGCAAGTATGACATTAAAACACAGTCGAAATAAACTTATAAATTTGTTGTTAAAAGGGAAAAATGTTGAAACTGAGAATTCTTGCGTTATGAATTGTTAAAGTAAAAATTTGAGGAGTAATGGTAAAGAGATCCTGACAAATTAGGAAAGAAATTTTATTTCGAATTGCGCGAGTGCAACACTTTCTCCCCCCTTCCTTTCTTTCTCTCTTTATCAGCGTTGCCAAGCGCGAGAGAGTAACCCTCTTGCAGTGCTTATCAGCTCATAAACGTGGAATGCGTAAGCGGCGTAAGCATTGGCTCATTTACTGGACTGTGTTCTCGTTTTTCACACTGCAGGATTATTATACAGAATGCCTCACCAGGCTTTTTCCGCCACTTCTCTTACTAAAGGTTGTAAATTTGTTGTTAAACGGGAAAATATTTTATTACAAAAATAAATCAGCGATATTTCCTCCATTCAACAATTAAATGCGCAGCGACTTAAAAATCACTGTCGCACTTCCCTTTTGAGTGACAAGAAAATCAGGCAGCACGGTTTTCTTGAAAGGACTTGACTGGAGCAGTCGACCCGGATATAAACCAGTCCGTGTCGGCTCGCTGCCCCTCATTTTATAAAGAAGTGCTCTGCTCCTTCCTGAGTGAGAGGCAAACATTTATTTGCAAAGCACGCGAACTGTGCGATTTCTGCAAGCGGCCGGCCGCCCACGAATCATGCACAGTGCGCAACAAAAAAAGTCACAGATTTGCTCAGCCGATCTTCGAGTTTTTTCGGCAAAATTATCCAAAGAATCACTGCGTCATAGGCTTTTTTGCCAGATGTTTTTACTTAGTTGTATGGAGACATGCGCTTTTTGTCCTGCACCTATCCGCTCGAGAAACACCGTGTCTCATCTTGCTTGGCTAAGCTTTAATCGAAATGTTGCCCTGAGTTTTGAATTCCTTAAGTGGATCTGTTATTCACCCGCTTTATTTAACTTTCGCTCATTTTTCTCATTAAAGTGTTATTCAGCACAATTTACCAAATTTCAGCTAGTCTTATGTCTTCCCGTTTTTTCTCGCTTCCCATTTCGACCTGAATGGCCCCTTTACATTCTGAGCTTTTTCCTGCTTGACTTCAGAGATATGAGTGTCTTTCGTTACTTATTGCAGGCACAAGGTTCGTTTTTCCCGAATTTCTAGTGCAGCTTCAATTTTTTTTCTTTTCTCCCCTAAATAACCGTGTTAAAGAGGTGGCCCTAGCGTTAATCTGTCTCCGAAAACTTCAAAACTGTTTTTGAACTGAACTGGTTGCTTGTACGTGGTCGTTGATAACCGAGGCAAACTTTTACACTTTGCATTTTAGATGCTATTTTTGGTCCTGCTCGCTCTACCGCAAACCGCTTTTGCGGAACGATGCTATTACGGTGCTATTGTTCCGATCCTTTCTATTGCTCATAGTGCTTTCACAAAGTATAATGTGAGGGTACGCAGTCTTTATTTTCGTAGTGAAGGCCCTCTTTGCTATCACCAGGGTGCGCCGCGACCGATAGCCCCAGAAAAAGGACAACCGTTCTAGATTAGCCTTCGAAGAAGCGCCGCATCTAATGCGGGCGTACTAAGCGGAGGTATGCAGCTCAGGAGAGTAGCGCTTAGAAATGCTGCGTCTGGCTTGTGAATGAGCCAAGAAACATCAGATCTCTGCATCTGCTATCAAGAAGGCAAACAACACTGAGATGTTGCCACCTTTAACTTCCAC